TAAAAGCAGAAAATAAGATGAGAGAGACAGAAAGAGACTGAGGCAGAAGTAGAGAGAGAAAAACAGAGAGAGAGAGAGAGAGAGAGAGAGATACAGAGAGAGACAGAGAGACAGACACAGACAGAGACAGATACAGAGACAGAGACAGACAAAGACAAAAACAGAGAGAAAGAGAATGAAGGAACACATAGATGATTTAACCATACGTGTATGATGGAGTATATGATTTGAGGTATTTGAGGTTTTTCTTTTAGAAAAAACACTGGATTCGTGGACTGTCCATAAGGATGAATGGTTTTTGTTCCTCAATTTAATCCCAACTAGTTCTAAGATGTTTGAAAAGGGAGTCACCTATGGCATACTATTTTCACTTTGACAAATAAGGAAACCGAGGTTGAGAGAAGGAATTAATCTCTCCAAAGTAATAGTGCAAGTTAGAGTGGTAGAGGTGGGACTATTAATCAGATATTGTGGCTCTGAGGCCAAGACTATCTTTGTACTGTCAAACTACCTTTCTTAGGCAAGAGGCACAGGGCTTTGCAGTGGAAATTTTCAAAGTTGGATTTCCTTCACCAGGTGAAGAATTGAAGAACATTTGGGACCAGCGAGGAACAGCCAATTTATTAGACTCCCTTTCTAGGACACAACATAGGAGTCTTTCAAGATGTTGTCTCCAGCCCAGCCCAGTCACTTTGCAGAAGTCCTCTGAGATTACTTCGGAGTTTAATTCTGACCCTGCTTTATCAAGATCCCCTGAGAGCACAATGAAATGAATTTACTCACATTTACAAATAAAACCATTTGACTTTTAATGTGAAAGGTGGAGCTCCTTTCCCATTAACAACCTTTGAGACCATCATAAGCCACCAAAGTGGGGGAAAAAAGGAAAATATTTTTCCACCTCACCTCTAGCCATGGGTATAAAGAGGTAATTGTGTTTCTGTACATATTTACAGCAGGGTAAAAGGGATATAAGGCCAGCCTTGGAGTCAAGAATATAAAAATTCAAGATGTTTCTTTGATACTGGCTGTGTGACCCTAGCTAGGCAAGTCACTTAAACTTAAAATGCCCCAGGCAAGTATCAAAGCTCATCAATTGCAGAGAAGCTTTAGATTTACACTGTTGAAAATTTTCCTACTTAGAGTACCTCATACCAATAAAATCTAAAATTCACATGGTAAAGATAGGAGATATATAAGCATAAACACCTGCATTCATGCATATGTGTCTATAACTCATATATTCTTGAGGTTACACATGTATATATATATATATATATATATATATATATATATATAGGTATATATATATACCTATATATACCTATATATATATATAGGTATCTATATATACTCATGTACTGTATGTGTACACATATATGCATATGTGTGTATGTTCGCAATATCATCTTTGTAGGGAACTTCAAACTTGGAAAACTCATGCTGTTAGTCAAATATAACTTAGAGTCTTAGTTACCTGGGGCACTGAGATTTTCATTGAACTAGTTGGAGTCATAGAACTAGTATGTGTCAGAGTCAGGTTTTGAACTCATGGCTTCATGACTCCTAGGTCAACAAGTTGATACACCGTAAAACTTCTCATCTAGACCATGTCCCAAGAATTAACACAGTTTTAAGTTACTAAAGCTTAAAAATTGGCTTTGGGGACACTTTCTATGACTACATGGAATATAATGCATGCATTCACATACATGTGACCCAAGGTTATTCAGTTATTACATTCTGAGATATGATTTATGACTTAATCATTAGTATAGTTTGGAAACTAATGTGGAAACTGTCTTTTTTCACTAAGACAGATCAGTTACACACACACATACACACACACAGATTCACAGTCACTATAGGTTTTCAAATCCCAGGAGTTTCCTTTGTGACTAATGGCAAACTTCAGATATTTCTAGCAAATTCTTTTTCACAACACTATCCTCACCTTTTCCCCCAAAGGGAAAGAAAGGGAAAGAAGGAGGGAGAGAGAGAGAGAGAGACAGAGAGAGAGAGAGAGAGAGAGACAGAGACAGAGAGACAGAGACAGAGACAGACAGAGACAGAGACAGAGACAGACAGAGACAGAGAGACAGAGACAGAGACAGACAGACAGAGACAGAGACAGAGAGAGAGAAGGAGAGAGGGAGGAAAGAGAGAGAGAGAGTGAGAGAGAGAGAGAGACAGAGAGAGACAAAAGAGACAGAGAGAGCACAGGCTGGAAGTTCTCAATGTCCTCACACACACTTGTTTTTAATGCACGTGCATTTTAAACATACAACTATCCACAATAGATAAAATGATAGGAATTCTTTCAAAAATAAAGCAAACTGATCCCTGTGTTCCACTCACCTAAAATTTCTTGCTAGACAGAAATGCATCATATACAGGAATACAAATTTAGAGTTGGAAGTTATGGCTACTGTCTTTATGCTTGAAAGTTAATACCGTGTTTTCTCAACAGGCATCATCTGCAAACAGGGTGTCCCAAATCCCCTGGACTTGGCAGAGAGCATTAGGTTGTACCAAACAATTTCCAGAGGAAGCTTCAAACCATTTTATTCTTAGCCCTTCAGTGTGGCTCTGAATCCTCACCGAATGGATTCATAGGGAAAGGTATAAAAAGTGTAGCCAACATTTGCAGCTGCAACATGAGCTACAGTGCTATCTCCTTAACAATCTGGCAGAGTAATCATCAATGCAGGGCAAAGTAAGGGAGCTAACCCCAAATATAAATTGAACCCAAAGTACAGGAGCACTTTCTTGGCAGAAAAAGTGGGGCATTTTTTCTCATTTGTGAACCTCATATTCTTGTCTCCTTTTGCCTTTCAGAAGGTAGTGAAGTATAGTGGCTGGAGAACTTTGTGGTGTACTAATTGACTTAGCCAATGAAGAATAAGATGGGAGCAGAAGTGGGAAAAGAGAAGCAATCTACAGATGCCAGTGAGTCCCTGAAGAGCAATAATTTTCCTTTGCAAAAAAAAAAAAAAATCAATGAGGCAAAAGAGCAGGCCCTTTGCCGTGTCTGCATCACATGTTACATACCATGAAGAAGTCCTGGATCAATGCTACGATGGAGCTTTGAACAATTTCTCTTGGAGAAACCATTATCAGTTTCTGTAACTTTATACAACACATCTCAAAGAAGCGGACTCCATTAACACAAGCTTCCTGAGTCCCTGAAAATATCTTCAAAACTAACAATGCAAAAGATGAAAGCCACTGATGGGTTGGGAATACATCTAAATGAGGAACAGACAATGGAGATGAGGCTTCGGAAGCAGTGACTGCTAACAATGATGTGCCAGAGAAAATTATGGTAAGCATTTCTGCCCAGAAAGCTTTGTGGAGGATGAAGCTGTGGAGCCTGAGATTTACAAAGATACGTCGTGCATCCATGTTTAAAAAAAATGAATAAAAAAAGAAGAAATTGGAGAGAGATTTAAAGCACATACGACACAGAGAACCAAATGCATTCAGTTCCACAACTGTTTTGTACAGATGGATGAAAAAAGCTGTATGGCATGGAGAATGATACCATCAAGGCAGAAGAGAAGAAAAGAAGCATGGTGACTGAAATGCAACAGCATTGCTTACAAGCAAGAGTTTGGAGGGGAAAGACCACTCAGTCGGGGAGGAGAGCACAATGCAAGACAGATTACGGCTTTGCAGTGGGAGATTTTCAAGTTGGATTTCTTTGACCAGGGGAAGAAGGGGAGAACCTTTTCGACTAGCATGGTGCAGCCGATTTCTTAGGCTGCCTTGCTAGGACAGTACAGAGTAGGCTTTCAAGATGGTGTCTCCAGGCCAGCCCAATCATTTTGCTTCACAATTGCCTTCTTTGCAAGTAAAATCATTCATGGACTGAAGCATCTGGATACAAATGGGATTTTGCTTTTCTCCCTTGCAGTTGAAAAACTTGTCTGAGGACTGAATTATTTTCACATGGTGAAATTCCTGAAAAAGGGCTTTACAAAGAATTGGGGCTCACGACCAACCCAATCCTCATAAGCCATCCACCATCTTGAAAATGTTGTATCATGAGTAATGCCACACATTTAAAATGACTTCACTGCAGTTGGCTGGGAAAGGGGTGGGAAGAGATAAAGGTTGCTGGAGCCACACTTCAGAATTTGCATACAAATCACAATGACCAGCAAGCTGTGAGCTGGGAAGTTGCCTTTACTTCCCAGAGTTTCAGTTGAGGGATGAGGGAACGGGAATAAGACATGGGCAAGAAACCCAACACCTCCATATGGAAATCCTACCAAGAAATACTGCATGTACTAAATATTCCTTGAATTTTCCATGTTGATTCATGGGATGGAAATGGACCAGATGATTATATTTCCACGGCAAAAAGAAAACAAAAATGGGAACAACTGAGCAAAGGAAATGTAATTGTTAGTGTTTGACAGCTATGTTAGTTTCTTTTTGGCAACAGCACGTCTGCTAGGTCTTAGGTCATTGATAAACCTAGTATGCATTGGAACCTGAGTGAAGGAACTCCTGTCATTTTCATCATCTTTAAGACATGAACACAAGCCCCAATGGAGAGGTCCTGGCTCTTGTACAGATGATGCAAATTTCTAATACTAACAAAGGGAAGTAGACTTACAATGAGTAAATAGACAAAAGCCCCAAATAATTACAATAGTCACAGCTTGGCAATGAGTTTCCAGACTATGAAATTAGTTTTCTTGTGAAGAATGGAGATTTTATAAGGCTAGTATAAACACAGGGTAATTGGAAAATCAAATTGCTCTTCACCAGTTATTGTAAGGTCTGGAATAATGGTGATAACATTTTAAAAAGCCTCCCTATATATGAATCACTAGTGTTTGAGTTGTCATCTACTTCTTCTATTTTAATGATTTATTATTATTATTATTATTATTATTATTATTTGAAACAGTACTGTTGCCAAGAATGGTTCCCTTAAAGTGCTACCACACTGGGACCTTTTAAGTTATGACATCCAAATACCAGCTTACCCCTGATACAATAAGCTCTCCGCCCAAGTTCTGTACTTCTGCCTTGACCTTGCTGCAGATATTAAGCTGGTGGCAATACAAAGCAATCCGTTGAAGGTAGGCTAATAAATCCTGTTTGCACGCAGAATCAGGACACTGAAAATAAAAAAAAAGTGGCATTCTCAATTATATGGTATCTTAGATAACACTTGTCACATCAAATCTCACAGAAGGACATAATTTAGGTCTTATACCATATTAGCAAAACACTACCCACCTGTCCCCTTGGGATGGGAGTTAATGGTTGAGAATTAGTCTTTCTGCTTCCACAGAATCTCATGAATTAAAATATGAAGATATCCCAGAAAGACCCTATTGATATCATCTGTAAATAATTAATTACACTTTTCTTAGTTGCCTTCTGCACAGTAAAGACAGCTAAGTAATCTCAGAGGCTATTTTGCGGAGAACTCCATTCAGCTTTCATGAAGCATGGGAGTCTATTGACACAAACACCCAGCCATTCTCCCCTGGAAGGAAATCATTTATGTTAATCTGCATGCTGCATTAGAGGATATGATTTCAAGTCGCTACTTTAATAAGAAGACGAAGCAATTTATTTCCTTTGCTTGTCTAAGCAGAGCATCATTCTTATTATAGCATGTCTGTCTCCATTTTGGACTCATTGTGAAATCTCAAAATTATAGCGACCTATTCAAGGCCCTTAAAAGTAAGAGGCTTAGAGATAGTTCATAACCAATACAAGTGGGAATATTCCTAGAACAACACATTCAGAGTCAATTGAAATAAACTGTGGATTGGAAGACACAATTGTTCAGCTTGCCCATTACATGACCAGCTAAGAAAAGGGAGTCACCATTCTAAATGATAAAAGGAATATTCTAGATTCCCTCAATGACTCCCATGGCTCAGGAAAGTGTGCCCCTGCCTCGTGACCTGACTCATGATTGTCTAAGAATTCTCATATGAGTGTCAGCACATGAGAGTTGTTGTGTGATTGACTTTATAGCATGGGGCTTCAGAGATCTGGGAGCTTGAAAATGATGTGTTTGGGGGACTCTGGAAATTCTAGATTCAATTTGGTATTTCACTAACACAATCATCAGCCATCTTGAATAAACATGATAGAAAAAAGGATCCAGGGCCAATCGCAGTAATCTTTGGCATATGGTTATGTGTACAAGAACACACGTGAGACACAGAAGTCCAATAAACGTATATGTTGAGCCTATATCAATTTACACGCTGTCTTGGGGTAGGGAGAAGGGAGAGACGGGTAGAAAATTTGGAACTCAAAATCTTATGTAAGTGAATGTTTAAAACAAAAAATAAATAAATACATTTATAAAAGAAATAAAAAAAGAAATAGAGACATCCAAGTGAAATACTAGGAAACAGTTTAGCAAGCCTTGAGAAGTTTGCAAACTTCTATCTATGTAATTCAAACATGTGATTTGGACACAACCATATTTTCTTTTTTGATAAAAACAAAAAGCAAGGAAGGAGGACTTAAGGAGGTCACTGAGTCTAACCTATTCTCTGCATGGCTGTTACCAACATGCCTTCTTCTACATTAGTGCATCTATCAAGGAAGAATCCCAGGGAGACCATTTCTCCTTTCTGCAACTATTTAATACTGTAATATTTATCCGACTCCTGAGACCCATGTACTGAAAAGAATTAACTTTAAAATGATATCTCTCCAGAGAGCTGACAAAGCTTTCAATACAAATACCTTGGAGCAAATTAAACTGGAAGTCCTATCTCCTTGGAACAGTAATTAAAAATGCAACAGTCCATAAAAAGTTTATATTGCATGCATATCTTGAAACTTTGCGGAAAAAAAAATCCAGCTACAGAAAGGCATCTGCTGATGGCTTCCCCAGCTTTGGTCATTGTCAGCTGTTCAGCTGAACCTCATCCAGAGGAATTTAAAATGCAAAAAGCATGTCTTCCCAAGCGGAACACCTCTACAACCTCTCAAATCCCCACAATGGTATGTATAAGAAGGTCCTGATCCAAGAACAACAGAAATGGCTAGTCACTTTCTGGTGGTTATTCCCATAATGAGAAAAAAAAAAGTAAGAGAGTGTGTCTTGTTTAGACAGTGTTTTTTTTTTTTTCAGAGACCACGTTCCTGATGTACCGTTCTCCTTTCTGAAGCTCATCTTCCTTGTGAACCAGTTCAGTTCAATATTATTCTTAACTCTTGACTTCTTCGGTTCCTTTTACTATTGCTGATCACACCTTGCCGAATAACAATGCTAGACTTCTATGATCTTTTCCCATTACTCCTCTTCCACGATATTGAACAAAACTTGAGGAAATCACAAAGCAGTGACAACTGGGTCTACTACAATCCTATAACTCTTCTTGTTCCAAATGTTCCCTTTTCTCCGCAAGTTTATGTCACCAACCCTTCCCTCCACCTTTTCAACTGAGGCCCTCATTTCATACTTTGCTGAAGAAAAAAAGTGATGCCATTTCCTTCTCCTTTTCTCCTCATCTCAGATCCTCCTAACACCATTACTCACTTTCTCCTCCATTACTCCATATTCTGATGAAAGGTGGCCCTTCATGCCAATGCCAACCCCTCTGCATTAACCCTAGATTCCATTCCCTCCCGCCTTCTCAAACACATTGCCTCCCACTATCATCCCTGTTCTCTGTGATACACATTGCCTTTCTCTAGTGCGAACCCTGTTAATGTTTGATAATGAATTTGTAGTGGATTCATTTGAGTATTTGTAATTTCCTCCAATTCTGTCCAGTAGCAAGGAAGACGAGAGATTTTTTTGAAACATCCACTCTAGAGCCAGGAGACATTCTTGCCCTTCACCATCCTCCCCAAAGTAAAAGGCTCCCCATAACACTGAGCCAGAAAACAGTCACTTGCTTTCCTCCAGTTTCTATTTAGCATCTGCAGTACAATTTGTGATGAGTATGACAATATTCACTTCAGGATGTTTTGTTTTGTTTTGTTTTTAGTTAGGGCAGGGGGAGGGGAAGCAATTGGGGATAAGTGACTTGCCAAGGTCACACAGCTATTAAGTGTCAAGTATCTGAGGCCGGATTTAAACTGAGGTCCTCCTGTCCCCAGGGCCGGGGCTGAATCTATTGCATCACCTAGCTGCCCCTTTCCTCCTCTTAAACCCATTCCTGACAAAAGTAGGTTTCCTGAAATAACAGCTCTCCTCCCTCATCTCATTCCTCTCTATTGGTTCTTTCTCTGGCACCTCATTTATAAAGTGTAATTACTCTTTTAGCTGTTCTTTAATGGTTTTAATTTTTGAAGTCATATCATGCTCAGGTCTACCCCAATCATTCTTATAAGTTACCTAATTACTAGTAACAGTCTTAGTTACAAGTTTTACATTTTCCATACACAAAAGGCAAACATTCTATCCTTTAGACCCTTGTAATCGCTCAGTGGTATGTACCTTATATTTCCCTTGGCTCTTATATGACAAATCTTCCACTGAGCTCAGGTTTTTTTGTTTTTAACAAAGTCCTGAAAGACTGACAAAATGCTCAAATGTAATTTTTTTTTTCCATTCAGAAACATGCTTAGCTTTCCTGGCTATGATATTTTCAGCCACAAGCCCAGTTCTTTTGCTCTTTGATATCTAGTGTTCCAAGACCTGCAATCGTTTAGTGTCCCCATGGATAGGTCTTGTTCGATTGTAGTTGTGGTACCACCACATGTAATTTTTGTTATTATTCTTGTTGTTGTTGCTGCTCATAACATTTTGTCCTTGATCTGGGGGTTTTGGAATTTGACTATGATATTCCTGTGGGTTTTCCTCATAAGATCTCTTTTAGGTGGTGTTCAGTAGATTCTTACTATTTCTGCTTTCCCCTCTTGTTCTAATGCTTCAGGACACAGTTTTTAAATTATTTGTTGTGTTATTGTATCAAGATTTTTATTTTTGATCAGAACTTTCAGGTAGTCCAATTATTCTTATGTTTTCTGTTCTTAATCTTTTCTCTAGATCTGTCACTGGCTTCCTCTTGCCCAATTTTGATTTTCACACAGTCATTTTCTTCCTTAGTATTATAGATTTCTTTTTCTAATTGGTTGACTTTCTTTTCATAATCTTCTTTTCTTGTATTAGTCTTTATTTTTTTAGGTTTTTTTTTCCTTTAATCTCTCTCATTTGATTTTTAAAGTCTTTTTTAAGTTGTTCAATTCATTCTTTTTGGGCAGGTGATCATTTGATGTTACTCTTTGGGGTAGAAGGGGGTTTCTTTGCTTCAGTATCCTCTTCTGAAAATGAACCCCAATGTTCTTTATTCCCGTAGTAGCTCTCTATTGTTGGATTCTTTCTCCTTTGCCTGTGCATTGGTTTTATAACAGCTTAGTTTTTAGAATCACATCTAGTCCTGGGGTATGGGGAACAGTGCCTCATGCCTCTGATCCTCTTCACTTCTCCCTTCTGACTTTGAACTCAAACCAAGACCTCCAGCCTCCTGTAAGTGCCCAAAGCCAGCAACATCCCAGTCCAATGCTTCTGTACTCACTGGGTGTGTGCTGGTTCCTTCTCACATGCCCCCTGCACCATGTCTCTCCAGCACAGCTGACTCTGGCATACCTCGTGAGCAGAGGTTCCCTCAAACTTTTCCAGGTCAGATGCCCAACTCCTTTCACTATCCTTGGGGTAAAAGTTCCTGTGGCTGGGGCCAAGGCAGCCTCCCAACTCAGCTAATCCTACAGCTTGCCCCTTGTGTAAGGAGACCCTAGCCTGGAAGCATTTACTCTTCACAGCGAGGAAATCTGGTCCTGGGATTTTTCTTCATATCTTCTCCAAATATCCCAAAAGGACCCTTGTTCTGCCCCTACTTTTATTTGTTTTCACTGCTCTATGCTAGCCCAGAGGCAATAAATTATGTTTTGTGGAAGAAAATTTTGAAAACTTGCAATTTTCTGCCTTACTCTGACATCTTCCCATCTTCCCATCCTCTCTCCCTTTCAGTGTATTTTTAAGTGTTCTTATACTGTCTTCCCCTTTAGAGTCTAAGCCTTCAAGGCAGGGGCAATAAAAAAGTTTCCCCTCAAATATGAACTCTCTAAGACCCATTGTGTGTATGCACATGGGTTATATGCTCAATATAACCTGAAAATTCATGTTTCCTAGAAATACTGGCAGATTTCCCTGAAAGAAATTTACACAAACCTCTGTTACATGGTCATATACATTTGAATTCAGAATTAAAGTCATCTGATTTGAACCTCCTAATTTTAAAGATGAAGGAACTAAAGCCTAGAGATATGAAGTGCCTTACCCAAATGTATGCCCTCTACCATGACAAATGATTTTTGTTGTTGTATCTTTCAGTAGTGTCTGACTCTTCATGACCCAATTTGGGGTTTTCTTGGCAAGCATACTGGAATGGTTTGTCATTTCCTTCTCCAGCTAATTTTATAGATGAGAAAACTGAGACAAACAAGGTTAAATGACTTGCCTAGGGTAACACAATTTGTAGGTGTCTAAGGCCAGATTTGTACTCATGAAGAGGAGTTTTTCTGATTGTGCTCTATGCACTGTGCCACGTAGTTTCCCCAAGACAAACCATATGATGTTCAAATTATAATGGCTTCTCTTATCTAGAGGTCAGTTATCTAGAAGCCTTAGCTATGCACAATACAGTTGAAAACTCAGAAGTAATCAAAAAGCAGAAAGAAACAATCCCCTGGGCAGCTTAAGTAGATAAAAGCATCACAGATTTAGTTATAGAAGAGGCCTTAGAAATCATCTGGCCTAAAGTCCACATTTTAACAATCATAATAGCTTAATAATTTATAAGTTATAACACTTTAAACTCTATGAAGTGCTTTACATGCCTTATCTTATTTGATCTTCACAACCCTATGAGGTGAGTGCTACTATTATTTCCATTTATAGTTGAGAGAAGACTGAGACTGAGTGGGGCCAAGTCACTTGCCCAGGGTCATACTACCTGTAAATGCCTGAGGTGAGATTTGAAGTCAGATATTTCTGACCCTCAGTCCAGTGCTCAGTCCACTATGTTACCTTGCTGCCTAAAGATGAAACTATGATACAGAGAAATGAGGCAACTTGCTGAAGGTTACATAGGCAACAAATGACATAGTTGAAATTTGAACTCATGTCTCCTGATTAAAAAAAAAAAAAGCATTCTTTCCATTTCAACACATGCTTCACCCATAGGAAACCCCTTCAGCATGACCTCAACATGAGCTTTGTAGATATACAAGATCATAGAGCAAAAGCTGATGTGTGTTTATACATGGTTTAAGAGGGCATCTCACGGGCATCATCTTTGAGCCCCAATTAGTGTCTTCTGTATGTGTGAATGGGAATGGGAAAGTGTTGAGTCCCCTAAACAGGTAATTGTTTATTAAGTAGTCCCCAAAGTATGTTTACTCTAAGATGGGAGTCACACAGAATGCTAATAATCCATGCTAATGGGACTGGAGGAAAGCACTTAGGTACAAACAGTATTACAGTTATCCCTACATCATTGCAGGGGGTTAGGGGCTCAGCACCTCTGTGAGCTGGAAAATCTACATAATATTTTGTCCCTCCTTTCATACCAGAGAGAAGTCTGATATTTTTCTTTTTTTAATGGGGTGTTTACAATACCTTATTGTAAAATTAGGAGCTTAATATTTGGTGATGGACTCTGTGTTATCTGTTGGTCTTCGTGTATCATCCGTGGCTTCCACAAAACTCCCAAAATATTCCCATTTAATTTCTTATGCCAACCCACGATTTCTCAAAACCACAATGGGGAAAGTTGTGATGTGGAAGGGTAACTGTACTTACTTCACAATCTCCTGAGGGCAGTACAGGACGATAGTCCAATACAATTACTATTTCCAAAGATGCCACTGAGCAGGGCTTCACTTACATTAGTGCCATCTGTTGAAGATAGTAAGGAAATAGGATGGTTTCCATCCCCAAATGATTAAAGTTTAAAAATATCCAGTTATCTGAAGAGCTACCATGAAAAATCTTCCTTTCCCCAAAAAGCCCAAACCGATAAGTAATTGCTGAATTGGACCCAATTAGAAGAGGAAAGGTCAGAGCTCAAAATAAGCCTGCCTACATTTGGCACTGGGCACACTGATCCATTGCTAAAATAGGAGACATCTTAAGTGTTACAACACTGTTGGGTATCAGAACACTAGAGAATTATGACAACACCACAGATTTTAAAGCTTAATTTTTGGGGAAATTCATGGACAGATGATTCCATATTTCTCAGTTGGGGAAGCAGGGACAATGAAAGGAGAAAGCAAAATTTTCTTTAAAACAGCAAACCGTTTCCAGTTGTATAAGTTATTGAAGAAAGGCAGTGCAGAATAATAAACAGAGAGATAATCTTGAAGCCAAGAAAAAAAAATTGATTTTAATCCTGACTCTGACATGTACTGGTTGTGTGATCCTGAACAATTCATCTTGCTTCTCAAAGAAGGTACCAATGTACATTGGAAGAGCTCAGTTCCTCACAGAAATTTACTGATACCAATACAATCACTGGTCTCATCCTATTAAAAATGTGAGGCAGCGTGGGGTAATGGATAGTGGGTAAGCCTTAGAATCAAGAAGATCTGGGTTCAAATCCTGCTTTAGCCACATACAGGCTGGATGACATTGGGTAAGTTACTTTACCATTCAATATTGGCACAAGTCCTAAGACGGCAAGCTGCCAAAAATGCTGCTACGTTGGACTAGTAGAGGGAGTTTTCTTGGTGAAAGTTCTCTAAATCAAAAAAATCAGGTTTAGTTTTGAAAGTTGTTAAAAAAAATAAAATGAATATTAAGTAAGTAGGCAGTATAGCCTGGTGGATAGTAGACTGGTCTCCATGTTAGAAAGACATGGAAGATCTGAGTTCAAATCCTGTCTCTGATCTCTCTCTCTCTCTCTCTCACACACACACACACACACACACATATGTATACATATACACATATAAGCATATATATACACATACATACATAGAGAGAGACCTAAGGCACTGTAAGCAAGTTATTGAGAGGTGTATCTATACAATCCAGATGAGTGATTGATCTGTGTCTATGGAAGCAATTCACAAAGTGGTTGGAAGCAAGGAAATAGAAGGAAAGGCAGACTTTTCCTTTCTGATTTTTTTTTTTTTTTGCTTTTTGGTGAGGCAAAAAAGGTTAGGTGATTTGTCCAGGGTCATACAGCTAGTGAGTGCTAAGTGTCTGAGGCTGGATTTGAACTCAGGTCCTTCTGACTCCAACACCAGAGCTCTATTCACTACACCACCTAGCTACACCTTTGACATTTTTTTAAGTAGGAAGCAGTTGATTTTTTTTTAATTGAGGCAACTTGAACAAACTCAGTTGAGTATGATTAGAAAGTCCCTCGTTATCAAGAGATAGAGAAGGTATTTAATTGCTTTACTTCTGATTATGAACACAAGTCATGAGGGCTTTTCTCTGAGCTACATCTACCTTTCCTGCCATGACAGGGCCCAGGGTAGGGAAAAGGCACATAAAGTGTTGTCAAGTCCCGCATTTTATTCTTTAAAAAAATTTATTGACACATAAAACCCAAAACAGAGTCCAGGTGCTCATTAGAGAGTCCACTTAGAGGAGTGCCTTTCTCTCTCCAATTATATTACCTGGTCAGCCACAGCTCGGGCTAATTTGTCCATTCGTGAACCAGCTTCAGCAATTTTCTTGGCAGCATTAATGACATCAGAAGTGTTTTTCAAGGGGCCCTTCCCTCTGAAAGAATACAGCATACGAGAATTAACATCTAAGTGTAAGAAGATTTTGAAAAAAAAAAAAATTAAATTAAGATCAAAAGATAATGAAGATTAACAACAACAAGAACAATAACAACAGTACACACAAACACACCCTGTCCCACCACTTAAAATCTGGCTCTATGTTGACTTTCATTGGCAGAGTTAGGCAGGCCCTTCCTTTTTTAATAAGAAAAAAATATGAATAGTTATAATAGTAGATCATTATATAGTACTCTCAAATTTGCAAAGGGTTTTAACTCTACTAATTTCATTGAACTTTCTAACAGCCCTGACTGAGGTAGTTCCAAATGAGAAAGCTTCAGTTTAGAAAGTCCCATAGGAAGCATGTGTGGAAATGGGATGTGAATACAATTGCCCTAGCTCTATGTCATAAGTTGACCGATTTAGAATTAGAAGAGATCTCAGTGGCCGTCTAGCCTGGCTCCTCCTTTTCCAGTTATATGATTTCATTAAAATCACTCAACTTCTAAATGTCACAAGCAAGGTCACACAACTAGTAAGATCCTGACACAGAAATTCCACTCAAGTCTTCTTAACTCCAAGAGTGGTATGCTATGCTATCCACTATGATACCTAACTGACATTTTGCTTAGAGAAATTGGATACAGAATTTGTGCTTCCCAGGTAATGTCATCTAAGCACCCACTGAGAAGCGTAGGCTGTTTGAATATAATGCCTAGAACATTTTGTTTTCTTTTGGCAGCCTCACAATGCAGAGAAGCTCTGACCCATAAGCCCCAAATTATGAAACATCATCTCTTTGCCTTTCCTCCAAAGGTAGCTAAGTGACTTGAGGCATACTCTGAAAAAACACATTCAAATCCCATTTCTTGTCCTTTTGCTTTTCATGTCTTTATATCTATCAAACATTATTTATAAGACAGCAATATGAGATACAAAACTAAATCCCAGTAGCCGGCTCAAACACGATGTGAAGAAAATCATGCCCTGACCAACGCAGACAGGGTTCAAGGTATGTGGTAAAGAATCATTCTAATCAACATTTATTAAGAATTTTTTAATAGGAGGACATAAAGTACTCTTTTATCAATCAGGTAACAAAGAAAGAGTGTTTGGATTTTGTTTAATTCCACCAAAACATTCCTATTCTTCTCTAAATTAACTAGTTCCAAATGGAACATTATGATAATTTAGCATCTCTGTTGTTGATTCCAACACTCACACCAGGAAATGAGAAAGTTACAGTTTCTTGGGGCAACAGCCCTCCCATGATGTGAGTTAACTTTTCAATTCCTATTTAGATTTCAAAAGAGAGGCAGAGGTTTCACATGTGCATTTTCATGCAATATGGATGAGTTACAGGTAGCAGACAATCTGGCTCCTTCCTCCTGAAGGTGGGGCATTTATTTATGTAAAAGAGTTTCTTGGGTATTTTTCCCATGTTTTTATTTCTTGCCACTTTTTGTTGTTGTTTTTAAAGGGAAGGCAAAAAAAAGTCAACATTTAATAATGTTCATACAAATTTATACTGGGGCTGCCAGGTTTAACACAGTTTCCTGTTGGAGTATTCATTTAAATGGATTATTTCTCACTATCTCCACTGCTTTCAGGTATAGCTTTATAACTAAAAAGTGACCGTCATAAGTGTCCTTTCCCACTATAATCACTCAGCATCATTGTGCATTTATTCTTATTTCTTTTAAGAATCTTATAGGACTCTATGGTCCAGTAACACGGCCTCTCCTGTCTCTCCTCCCTTCCTCACTTCTCCCCTCCCCCTTCTCTCCTCTCTTCTCCTTCTCTCTTCTCCCCCTCCCTTTCTTCTCTTTCCTAGCTCATCCTCTCCTCACAAACATGTCTGCACTTACAGTAAATAATATATTATATTATTATTATATCTATAACTATTATCTACCTACACTTTTGTATATATAGTTGCTTGCATGATTTCTCCCCCATTAGAATGTGAGTTCCTTGAGGGTAAAGATGTGTTTTCTCTTTCTTTGCATCTCCAGTGCTTAGCACAGTGCCTGGAATATAGTTAGTTCCTAATAAATGATTTGATGGACTAAACTAAGAAATGCTTTCCTTGTTGGTTTAGCCAGGAAAATGTAAAATGAAATCCAATAAGTTCTCTAGAAAATTCTCTTCTACTATAAATTAAGAGAAGACTGGTAAAGATAAAGACATGAATGGATAAAGGGATTTTCCTCTTTTGAGGTTCCCTATATCAATGAAACCACAATTCCATGCTCCTCAAACTCCAGTGGCATCCTATGCCTCTGGAATGAAGTATAATTCTCTTGCTGAGCTTTTAAAGCCCTTTAAAGCCTTGGCCCGACCCGTCTTTCCAGCCTCTCTGGACACTACTCTTGTTCCCATACTGGATGGTCTCGCTAAATTGATACCTTCTCTGCTTCTCACACAGTACTCCCCACATGGAAACTCCCCACATGGAACCTTGCCCTGGCTATTCCCTATGGCTGAACCCAATTGCCTCTTTGCCTTTCCTTCATAAAATTGTTCCCTTTTGAAGTGCATCTTAAACATCACCTTCTATAAGAAGCTTTTCCTGATTTTCTTACCCCAACTTAGGGTTTCCTCCTTCCAAACTACCTTATACTCAGTTAATTGCCTGTGTATTTATTAATTTTAGATTTATAGTGTGTATAAATATGGTCTTTTGAAGGCAAACATTTTTCATCCTGTCAGGAAGGATGAATCTACACCTATGTTCGGGTGAGACATAGGTCACCCTAAGCCTATGGCCAATGACCACAGGCCTCTTGCACAAACTTGCTGTGCACCTTCCTTAGTCCTTATTTCGTTGTTCTCCACCGTATATGCTTTTGGTGACCATCCCAACGTGGGTACAGTCTATAAGATGTTTGGAAGTTTAATTAAATTGAGCTCCTCATTTTATTTCCCTCTGTTCTCCTTTCCTCTCTTCTCTCCGCTCTTCACAAACAAGTCCCCACTCAGAAGAGCCTCAAACAAAGACTAGATAATCAGCTGTTGGGCCTTTTTAAAATGTCATTGACATGAAATTGAACTAGGGGGAGTCTGAGGTTTCTTCTAACTCTGAGGGTCTGTGATTCTGTGAATGTAACTTCCCTTTGAAGAAGTGTATTAGACACTAGCTGTGTGACCCTGGGCTAGTAACTTAACTACAAATGCCTCACAAAATAATAATAATAATAATAATAATAATAATAATAATAATAATAACAATAACAATAATACCAACAATAATGATAATAAAATACAAGTGACAGTTATCCCTATGAATATATCTGCTTTTAGCTCTGTGTGCATGTGTGTTTGATACAGAGAAAGAGAAATAGACAGAGAGGGGAGAGAGAGAGAGAGAGAGAGAGAGAGAGAGAGAGAGAGAGAGAGAGAGAGAGAGAGAGAAGGGAAGAAAGGGTTGAGAGAAGGAGGGCTTTACATGTATTCTATGATGCAGCCAGTGTTCAAAACATTGTCTGGAGCTCCTCCTTTGAAATTCTTTCAAAACTAATTTATAAACCTCATAAAATATTCAATAGCTGCAATATATTATATCCACAATTCATGTGCATGCCTGTATATTCTTCAAACTAGCTTTCTTCACCACCTAATGTATTAAGGAAGAAAAATAACATCAAGCTTATCATTTTCAGATGACTTTTGGAAACTTCCAAAAATCAAACCCAACATCAACAGATGAACATCTACCATCACTGAGAATACTAAGAAGATTGGGGTTCTGAAAAAAATGTTGCAACACATCTTGGAATAAGTTCACATACTCTTGAGGGGCCCACTTTGAAAAGGACGGTGTTCATTTTGATGCATAAGATTTATTATTATTAATTATTATTATTATTATTATTATTATTTTGTGAGGCATTTGAGGTTTAGTTACTAGCCCAGGGTCACACAGTTAGTGTCTAACACATTTCTTCAAAAGGAAGTTACATTCACAGAATCACAGACCCTCAGAGTTAGAAGAAACCTCAGACTCCTCCTAACTCAATTTTATGTCAATAACATTTAAAAAAAGGTCTAACAGCTGATCATCTAGCCTTTATCTGAGGCTCTTCTGAGCAGCCCACTCTACTTTGGGATGAATAGCAGCAACATCACCAATAAATAGCATTATATAACACCTACTAAGTGTCAGGCATTGTACTCAGTGCTTTACAAATATAATTTAATTTGTGCTTCCACCAACCTGGCGATGTAGGTGCTATTTTTATTCCCATTTAATAGATGATGAAACTGAGGCAAACAGAGGTTGTGACTTACCCAAGGTCACACAGTAGAGTTTCTGAGGTCATATTTGGCCTCAGGTCTTCCTATCTCCAGACCAGCCCTCTCTGCCTTTGCTGGGCCACCTAGCTGCCCCTCATTTTAATTCTTGGTAATTTTTTTTCCCTGACGTCAAACTCAAACCTGTCCCTCTTCAGGTTGTAACAGTGCTCCTTGTCTACCTTCTGAGGCTGAGCAGAATTAGGCTCAAACAAGATCTCTGGATCTCTGGAGTTGTTTCTAGATGATGCCAGTGGTCACCTAGTCCAATGCTTTTAGTCTAAATATTTTGTCCAAAGTCACAAAAATAGTGTCAAGGGTGACATTTGAATACATAACTTCAGACTTCTTATAGACAAATAAGGTCTAATGGCTAGGGAACTATCCTCTAAACCAAGAAATATATTGTCTATGTGACTGTACGCCAATCACAGATTCTCAGGACTCTAGGCTGCTCTCTAGTCTGGGATTCAACTGGACCCATGATCGTGTTTTTTTAAAAATGTTGATAAATTTATTTCAACATACAGAAAAAGGAAAATGATAAATGTTGGACAAGATGTGAGAAAATTGGAACAATAATGCATTGTTGTTGGAGTTGTGAACTGATTTCACCATTCTGGAGAACAATTTGGAACTGTCCCCAAAGGGCTATAAAACTGTGCACACCCTTTAACCGAGCAATACCACTACTAGGTCTGT